AGTTTGCTCGCAATCACACCTCGCTCGGGTAAACGGCAAGACCTCCTCTACCCCGCCGCAATTCTGACTCCTAATTTGGGGTTCGCCGGGGTCTCAGATTTGCATAGAGGTTGTCGAAGCCTTCGATTGGCCCCTGCGGTCCTCCTCCCGCTCGCTCCCAAGCCGAATAACCGCCCCCCGCGCCCTGGAGGGGGAAGCGCTGGAGGTTGTCCCGGGAGACGACGCGCGGGCGCACGGCGCGGGCGCGGGGCGCGACTTCCAGGTCCGCGCCGTCGGGGCGCGGGGCGCAGGCGCAACCGATCCCGGGAGCCGCCGGGCATCCGGACGGTTTGAACCCCCAGCTCCAGCTGCACCGGCCAGTGCTGCATTAGCGGCGCTTGGTACTGGATTCTCTCCGGGAAGCCGGGGAAAGAGCCAAAACCAAGTGCAGGAGGCACCGGACTGAGAGCATCGGATTGGGATTCAAGTTAGCTGTTTTATTGACGGGGTAACCTGGACCGTGGTAATATTTGCAGAGGTTTCGCTGGCTTAAATGTAAAAGGCGGAGGGGGCTGCCGGAGAGGTAATACAGTGAGGAGGATGCTAGCTCTGCACGAGGCCAGCCAGGGTTAGATCTCATCTGGTCCCCCAAATAACTCCAGGTGTAATTCCTAAGTGCAGAGCCAGAAGTAAATCCTGAGCACCTCTGGTGTGGCCCAAAGCCTCTCCCTGGCTCCCCGGCCCTCCCCCCAGAAAAAAAGAATAAAAGGGGTAAAAAAATTAACTCTTAAAAGTAAAAGGGATATGGAAAAGCTATAATTAACATTCGAATTAATCATGGGAACCCCTCTGGGGGCATGAGAGGTCATGATCCCGCCACTGAACTGGCCAATTAGAGAGGTCGCCCAGGGTCAAGGGATCTTGGCTTCCGGTGGTGGGACACCTTGATTTTTCTTTTACAGGTGGAGAATTGTAACAGTGACTGTAGTGACTATATTAAAATAGTTGTTTCTATTTCCAGCAAAGCCCCAATCCTCTGGGTCTGACTGACTGCAAAGGATTGGCAATGGAAGCTGTTTCAGCCTGGTTAATACAGGACTGGAGAAAGATCAAACAAAGGCTGGATTTCAAGTTCCTGAACATAGTGTTTTTAGGAAACGCTCTTTAAGGAATTTTTGTACACGATGCCTTTCCTCCTTCTTCTTGAGAATGTTCCAGATGAATAATTTCTTGCTGTTGGAACAGAACTGTCCCTGTAGAAAAAGACTGGGGAGCCCCAGGGGTAAGACTCACAGATTATGAGTCTGTTTGGGGGGACAAAACACTTTTCCAGCCCATTAGGGGGAGACATAAAAGACAGAAAGAAACCTAGAATCCCAGGATTGATGACAGAGTTGGGATCCTGACCCTAATGCACAGTGTGCAGGATGTAGCCAGAAACGCTTCCTGGATGGGACCAGAGAAGCTCTTTACAGATTCCCATTGGAGTGCTGTGCCCCCCGACTTGTGCCCAGGACCTCATTCTGTGATCAGTGAAGATGAGGCAGGAACACACCTGCCTCCCTCCGGCAGACGCTGAATCTAGTCTGCACTTCCCCTACACGCATGAAGCAGAGCTGGGCAACACCCCCTTTCCCCACCAGGTTGCATAGTCAGCAAGGTCTGTCCTTGGACACATGGCCCTTCCCCGAAATTGTGCGCATCAGGGTTATCTCAGCTTTCCAGTCTTTGGAGCCCTAAATCTCCCCCTTATTAAGCTGATTCATAAAGCTTGATCACTAGTTGTTTAGAGAGTTCTTCACTACTTACCAGTTGCTCTTGTCCACCTAGAAATCAACCAAAATTGGTAAAGGGACTTTCCCTCCTCACACTGGACCCTGTACCTTTCCCCCCACTGACCTGCCCAGGAGGGTGGAGACAAAGGCAGATGCCAGCGCCTGCCCAGAGAGCTCAGCCACCCCAGAAGGCCCAAGGTGACAGCGTCAGCAGCTGTTCCAGAAATCTCTTTGCGATTCCAGTCGCCTCCTGGCCCTGGGCTATCCTGCCCCTCCCCCTGGGGGGGCAGGGGACCACCATCCACTGGCCACCCGGCAGATGCGTCCCTAAAACCAACTGGCCCAGCTCTGTTCCCCGCCCCCAGCCCGCAGCTTCCTGTCCCTAGTGCCCTACCAATCTGCTCTGCCAAGCTCTCGCTTTGGTCTCAGGTCTCTCCGGAGTGATATTGTGATGGAAATGAGGGAGGAGATGCAGGACGGAGACGCAGAGATTTACAGCTTCCAGAGGGCTTCCATTAAAATCTCTTGACAACCGGTTATTTATGAGGGGAGCTGCAATGGGAGCTAATAGGCCAGAGCCTGGCACCGCTATCCCTCCAGGGGCGCAGACCGGAGAGAACCCAGGGAGAAACCCGGGAGCTGGCCCTGCTGGGGAGCCGAGTGGGCTGTGACCCCGTCAAGCATCCCCTCCAGGGCCAGAGAGTGACAGCTGGGAAATCAGAGCGGCCTGATGATTTGTGCCAGCAAACCAGGAAGATGCGCACGGCAAACAAGGAAGGACTTGCTGGGCCCGGATGTGAATGGCTGAAGAAGTGAGTTGGAATAAAGATATGCATACATGGACTGTGTCCCCTCCTCTGAGCTCCAACTCAGAAGCAAGAGTGTGTGACAAAAAAAAGGTCGAGACTGTTTTCACTTAGTTCCTAAGGTAGCCACCTGACTAAACAAATACAAATAGTAAGACAATACGAAAATCCTTGACTCTACAGCTGACACACAAACTGTTTCTCAGTTTGGGACGTTTGGGACTCTTTAAGTCACTAATGAGATGGGGGGGCAGAGGGGAGAGAGAAAAAGAGAGAGAGAGAGAGAGAGAGCCCACCCCACGCGCTGCTGTTGCTCCTTTAAAGCAGGGTCCCTTGGGGAATTCTTTTCTTCCAGGTCCCTTCGCAAATAAAAGTCTTTTCAGTTCTGTTTTGACGTGTATGTGATGCAAGAGCCCTTGGGGATGGGGCTGCTTGCTTGGCTAGGAGCGAAGGGTTCTATATTTTGTCGTACCCTTTATCTTCTCTTGACCTTGGAGGGAGAATGGTTTTTCTCTAAAAGGAGCCCTTTGTGGTTATTTTCAGATTAGACTTTTCTTGGTCTACATGGTTTTGAGAAATAAGTTCCAGAGAAATTTCCCTGGGGCTGGAGAGATAGTACAGCAGGTAGGGTGTTAGCCTTGCTGCCTTGCTCCAGGCAGACCCAGGTTCTATCCCCAGCACCACACACACATGCTTCCCTGAGCACCACCAGGAGTGATCCTTTGGCACAGAGCCAGGCGTAAGTCCCGACTACTGCCATGTGTGTATAAAAACAAAGAAACCGCTTTACTAAAAAGGGAAAGTTCTCTGACTGCTGGTGCAGTAACAGGTAAGTGTCTTGGGCTCATCCTCTGTGCAAAGCAATTTGGTTGCCGTGGTGATGAACATATGGTAGGATCACCTTCTGTAACAAAAAAACCAAGAATTATGTTTTATAGTTTCATTTAAAAAGTTTTATCTAATAGTAAGTGGGAAAATGTAAAATCTATAGATATAAATATGGCAAGTATATTTATATGCATTATAAACTGAAAGAAATGTTCATAGAATTTTCAAGAAAAGGCAAAACATCACTCCTGTGCAGTTATTAAATTGAACAGGGCTGAAACAATACTATAATGAGTAGGGCATTTGCCTTGCATGTGGTCCACCAGTGCATTCTATCTCTGGTACCCTATATGGTCCCCTGTGCTCTGCCATGAATGACCCCTTGGGGATGCTTGGATAGCACGGAGCCAGGGAATAAGTGTTGAGCAATGCCAGGTGGAGCCTGAAAACCAAAACAAGTGAAGAAGTTAAGACGTTTTATCTTGAGATTGGAGTAGTACAGTGAGTAGGGGTGCTTGCCTTGCACTTGCCCAACCAGGGCTCAAGCCTTGGCACCACATATGTCCCCTGAGACTCGTGAGGAATGAATTCTGAGTGCAGAGTCAGGAGAGTAAGCCCTGAGTGTCACCAGGTGTGCCAAAAAAAAAAAAAATCAGACTGGAGTGATAACACAGTGGTCAGAGTGCTTGCTTTGCATACTGCCAACTGAGTTTATTCCTGGCATTCCATATGGTCCCTCCAGCCCCTTCAGGAATGATTTCTGAGTGTAGAGCTGGTGTACACCAGGTGTGGCTCAAGAAACAAAAAAAAAACATTGGGGCTGGAGTGATAAGTGTAGTGGATAGGATGCTTTCCTTGCACCCAAAATGGTTCTCTGAGTGCAGGTCCAGGAGCTACCCCTGAGCATTACCAAGTGTGCCCACCCCGTCCAAATTTTATTTCACTTAGTGAGGGACACAGTCATATAGATGTTCAAAAAGAAACAGCAAAATTTGTCTGAGAAAAGAAATGTTGAATCGCAAATAGAAGCAAAAGAAAAAAAATTTTTTCCTACAAGGAAAATAATTCAATAAACCTCTAAGCTATCAATTACCTACAATTTAAGGAGTTGTAAAATAATTCACATACAATCACTCCAAGTCCGGAGAGTTAACAGGATTCTTGCTGAAAGCAAGCTAAGAGATTGATCAGATTATCAATGTGCACTGACTGAGCAGGATTGCCGATGGAGTGAGTGATTGCTAGGCTCGGGCTCGCAGAGCACCAGGCGCGCAGGTAGATTTCTGGGTCTCCTTTAGGGACTGGTGGGAGGCAGGCTCCAATAGGTGCCAAGGGGACTCAGAGTGAGAGCATGCTGGGGGCAGTCGGATGCAAGTGAAGACGACCCCCCAAAGGTCCTTCAGAGATAGGGCGCTTTCCCGTGAAGGGCTGAAGGAACCGAAGGCGGGTTTGTGTGTGTGCTTCGGAGAGGGAAGGGCTCGCGTTGCAGAGGGAGTCGGAGGCGGGGGCGCGGCTCTGGACCGGGCCAGGCCCGCCCGGCCCGCAGCTCTCCGCCGGGCTCCGGGTCCGCACACTACGACTCCCAGCACGCCCCGCGGCCAGGGCGGGGCCTGCTGACCGTTGCGGCGCTGGGGGCGAGGCCAGGAGGGTTTTGAGCCCCGCCCCGGCCCGGTCCTGCCCATTGCTGTGGCGCCGCGGCCAGCTGCTGCCCCCGGTGAGTTCCCGAGCGACGGAGGGCTCTGAGGGTCCCGGCCCGCGGGGTGCGCACTTCGGGCTCCCAGCCCGCGCCTGGGCCCGGGCAGAGAGGGAAGTGCAGCTGGTTTCGGTTTCCACCGCGGTCCACCCCTCCGGGGTGACCGGTGGCAGTGGTTGGTGCCCGGAGCCCCCCGGCCCGGTCGGCGGTCCCGCGGGCCGGGCAGGCCCGCTCCCTCCCGCGGACGGCGGCGCTGGCCCGACGGCAGCTCCCGGGCCGCGAGCGGGGCCCCTGCGGGCCCGACGGCGCGGGCCTCGGCGGTGCGTCACGACGGGGTGGCCGAGCCCCGCCGCCGAGCCCCGAGCCCCGCCGCCGCCCCCAGGCCCTGGCCGCGACGTCTTCGCCGTCCGCTCGGGGCCCGGGCTCGCGACGGCCCCTCCGCGCCTCGCCGTCCCCGCCCCCGGAGCCCCTTTGCCGAGGCCAGGCCGGCTGGACCCGGGACGGCCGCCGAGAAGAGCGAGCGCCTGGAGCGCGCGCTGACCGCCGCGTGCGTCTGTTGCCGTGCCGGGCCGCGCCCCGCCCCCCGCTCCCCCCGCCGCCCCCACCTCCCACCCCTGCCCACCCGCCACCTTCCCCTCACCCGCCCTCCCTGCCAGTCCCCGCCCCCCCTCCCCGCCACCTCTCACCTCGCCACCCCCACCTCCCTCTCCCTGCCTCCCCTGACCCCCACCCCGCCTTCCCCCGACACCCCTGACCCCCACCCCGCCTCCCCACCATCCCTCACCCCCACCTCGCTCTCCCTGCCTCCCCTCACCCCCACCCCGCCTTCCCCAACAACCCTCACTCCCACCCCGCCTCCCCACCACCCCTCACCCCCACCTTGCTCTCCCTGCCTCCCCTCACCCCCACCCCACCTTCCCCAACACCCCTCACTCCCACCCCTCCTTCCCACCACCCCTCACCCCCACCTTGCTCTCCCTGCCTCCCCTCACCCCCACCCGCCTCCCCACCACCCCTCACCCCCACCTCGCTCTCCCTGTCTCCCCTCACCCCCACCCCGCCTTCCCCAACACCCCTCACTCCCACCCCGCCTCCCCACCACCCCTCACCCCCACCCCACCTTCCCCAACACCCCTCATTCCCACCCCGCCTCCCCACCACCCCTCACCCCCACCTCCCTCTCCCTGCCTCCCCTGACCCCCACCCCGCCTTCCCCCGACACCCCTCACCCCCACCCCGCCTCCCCACCACCCCTCACCTCCACCTCGCTCTCCCTGCCTCCCCTCACCTCCACCCTGCTCCGCCACCTCTCACCTCGCCACCCCCACCTCCCTCTCCCTGCCTCCCCTGACCCCCACCCCGCCTTCCCCGACACCCCTCACCCCCACCACGCCTCCCCACCACCCCTCACCCCCACCTCGCTCTCCCTGCCTCCCCTCACCCCCACCCCGCCTTCCCCAACACCCCTCACTCCCACCCCGCCTCCCCACCACCCCTCACCCCCACCTCCCTCTCCCTGCCTCCCCTCACCCCCACCCTGCCTTCCCCGACACCCCTCACCCCGCCTCCCCACCACCCCTCACCCCCACCTCGCTCTCCCTGCCTCCCCTCACCCCCACCCTGCTCCGCCACCTCTCACCTCGCCACCCTCACCCCGCTCTCCCCCACCCCGCTCTCCCCAACCCCGCTCTCCCCAACCCCGTTCCCACCCCCCCCGCCACCCCCACCTCCATCCCGCTCACCCCACCACCACACCCACCCCTCCCTACCCTGCCACCTGCCTCCCCGCCACTCCTCACCCCACCTCTCTCTCCCCGCCACCCCCCACCCCCACCTTGCCTTCCCCGACACCCCTCACCCCTACCCCGCCTCCCCACCACCCCTCACCCCCACCTCACTCTCCCTGCCTCCCCTCATCCCCACCCTGCTCTCCCCGCCACCTCTCACCTCGCCACCCCCACCCCTCTCTCCCCCACCCCTCTCTCCCTGCCACCACCACCCCCTCACCCCGCCACCCCCATCTCCATCCCGCCACCCCACCACCCCCACCCCTCCCCACCCTGCCACCCCCCACCCCGATCACCCCACCAACTCCACCCCTTCCCACCCTGCAACCTTACCCCCACCCCTGCCCACCCCACCGTCCCCCATCCCTGCCCACCCTACCACCCACACCCTGCTCACCCCACCTCCCCACCCCTCCTCACTCCACAACCTTACCCCCACCCCTGCTCACCCCTTACCTCCACCCTGCCAGCCCTCTCACCCAGCCATTCCTCACCTTACCCCATTCCTCAGCCACCCCTGCTCACCTTACCACTCCCCACTCCCACCCCAGTCACCCAGCCACTCCCACTCCCACTCACCCCACCACCCCCACCCCTGCTCACCCTGCCACCCCTCACCCCCAACCATTCCCCAGCCCTCACCCCTGCTCACCACCATCCCAACCTCATCGCCCTCCTTCATCCCAGTGGGGCGCACTCTTGGGGACTGCAGCTGTGCGCCTTAGTCACTCCCCCCTCCCCCATGTTTTGGATTCTTGGTTCTGCTGCTGCAAAGCAGCAAGTGACTATCAGTTGAATCATCGGCATGTTCTATTAGACTCTTCCTTATTAAAAAAAGAAAAGAAAAGAAAAGTTGAAAGGACTGTGGAGACAGTACCAGAGGTCACAGGGCTTGCCTGGCATGGGTTGGGTCTCTGGTGCCTTCAGCAGAGAGCAGGAAGTAGCCCTCAAACAGCGCTGGGTGTGGCCCAAGTCACCCCCACCCCTCCAAAAACAAAAACAAAAAAGTTCAAACCATTTTGGAAGCAGAGCTCCATAGGTCTCGGTAGGTTCAGATGAGCACAGGAGAAAAGGCTGTCCGGGGGTTCCCAGAGGGCTCTGCCCAGAACGCAACCCAGCCACGGCCAGGCAGCCAGGAGAGGAAAGGACTTTGGTTGGTTAGATGCAGGAGATAAGAGTTCCCCAGCAGAAGGCAGATTGTCTTTCCAGCACATCTAGGGCTCTTGAAGAACCTGATCTTGCTCATTGGTGTCACAGCAGGCTCTGTCCTTTCCTTAGGTGATAAGAGAGACAGTAAAAATGCACTCAGGCTTCCTTTCTCTTTCATTTGGAATTATTATTGGAGCAGAAAGGTTTCTGAGCGGGTTTCGAACCTTCTCCACACATTTTTTTTTCTTTTGAGAGGAGTGGGGAAATTGGGCTTGAAAAGGAAGCAGCGAGACTTGGCCAAAGTCTTAGACTAGTGCATGGCAGAACTAAAACAGGAACCCAGGTCCCTTTCTTTTCTCTGGGCCTAAAACACCTTTACTGCTTGTGTCCCACACTCTCCTCCTTTCAAAGAAAAAGTGGATGCTCCCCGTAAAATGATGATTTATACATAGCTTCTAGGTTTTCTTGCAGTTTCTTCGGGTTGCTTGTGTCTCGTCCCAGAATTGCATTTTGGTTTTTCCCCTAGTACTGCTGGTCAGTGGCCCTTTACATGTGGCCTGCTGAGAATAAGCAGGGCTGCCTGTGCAAACAACAGAGACAGAGTAGTATAAAAATCAACCCGTGGCTGGGTGGAGAGATAGTACAGTGGGTAGCGCGCTTGCTTTGCATGCAACCCATTTGGGCTCAAGACTTTCCACACACACACCCACACACACACTCTCCCAAGGAGTGGTCCCTGAGTGCAGAGCTAGAGGTAAGCCCTGAGCACTGCTGGATATCGTCACCCCCCCAAAAAAAAAATTCTCCTGGGAACATAAAATTTTTCTAACCACAAAGATTTAGATAAGAAATTTGAAAGAGGGGCTGGAGTGATAGTACAGCAGGTACGGCCTTGCACGCAGCCGACCCAGATTCAATTCCCAGCATCCTATATGGTCCCCCGAGCACTGCCAGGAGTAATTCCTGAGTGCAAAGCCAGGAGTAACCTCCGTGCATCGCCGGGTGTGACCCCCAAAAATAATTTTTTTAAGAGGGCTCAAAGGGGTGAGGACATGCTTTGCATGTGGAAAGCCAGGATTCAGTCCCTGACACCACATGGTCTCCTGAGTACCATTAAATATTTGCACTGTTAGAGTTTTGAATCCAGAATGAACTTGGGAAATTTTGTACCAGGATAAGTGACTCCATCATTTGAAGACCAGCGATTGTGTCTTAGCTTATGCCCAGGACCATCTGCACAGCTTAGGAGTTATTACCAGCATTCTTTGAAGGGAATGTGTTGAGCATTTCTTCCTGTCAGCAAAACTCCATTTTGCTAATTGTGAGTAGTTTAGAAAGTAAGTAGGTAAAAGGAGGAAGGAACTTGATTATATGTGGGTTTGAATTTTACTGATCTTTGCTCAGACTGTTCTCCAGTAAAGAACAGCTCTATATTTCTCTCTTGCCCGGGGAAGTGTTCTGTCACCTCCTCAAACATTTGCTACTGGTATAACAGGCAAGTGTTGGGACCGGAGAGAGAGTCCAGTGGCAGGTGGCGTGCTTGCCTTGCATAGCCAACCTGGGTTTGATTCCCAGCACCCCCTATGGTTCCCTGAGCATTCCAGGAATGACCCCTGAATACAGAGCCAGGAATAATCCCTGATCACAGCCAGGTGTGGCCCCAAAATCAAATAAATAAAAATAAAAGGCTAATGTAAAAATGTTGGACATTCTCTAAGTCAGAACTTTAGTGAGTCGTAATAACGCTATTTCTTCTTCATGGTTCAGCATACATGAGGAAAATTGGTGAGTTGATTTGGTTAAATGTTAGCATTATTAGGGGCTTGAACAAGGCAGTGTTGTTGCAGCATTTTCAGTATTTCAGTATTTCTGCACGTGAGTGTAGTTAATAGGTTCACTCAGGAAGAGCCGAAGTAGAATTGGTGATGGTTCTTCTCTTCAACAGCACTCCCGGCACTTCCTGTCGCAAATCCTGGGGGTAGGATATTCAGCTAGCAAGCTCATCAGTAGATGAAAACATGTCAGATCTGCTTAGAAACCAGAAGTCCCAGGAATTAATTTGAAAATACATTGCCTTCCTTGAAGGAGGATCCTAATCCTTTTGGAAACCAAACTAGGGGGAAAAGAAGGTGGGGTCGGATCAGCTTTACCAGGGTTCAAGTAAATCAAGTAAAGTATCTCTGCCAGTTCATAGAATCCTGGGAATCCAGATACTGTTTTATCATGTATGATGATATGTGAGTATTGTATGTGTGTGTCCCCTCAGTGCACACAGGTCATGCTGGGTCAGATCATACCCTGGGAGCCCGGGCATGCAGGGCATGTGCTCTACACCCGAGCCACATTCCTCCCCACAGTGATTTTTATTTCATTTATTGGCTTTGGGGTCACACTCAGCTGTACTCACGGCTTACTCCGGGCTCTGTGCTCAGGGATCCCTCCTGGTGGGTCTCAGGGGACTCTGTGGGATGCCAGGGGTCGAATCCAGGTCTACCACATGCAAGGCAGGTGCCCTGCACACTGTACTGTCTCTCTAGTCCCTCCCCTCAGTGATTTGATGTTTGTAAAAGCCCTATTTGCTTAACCTGGTAATGCTTATGTGGTTGGTCTTTGGTTTGAAATGGGGGAAGGAATTAGGTGGGAAGTGCTGCGTGATTTCTAGGAGGCTCAGTTTATTCCACAGCTTTTTCATGACCCAGTTAGCTCCTGGGTTTCTAGATTTAACTTTTGTTCGTATTTTGAATCTCTTCCTAGCCCATGTGGATAGTTCCAGAATTAGAAATGAACGGTAGACAGGTTCCTGATTGGGAAGCATGGTAAAGATGGGAGAAGTTGATGCTTAAATCATTCCAGTTTTCCTTCCACATTCTCCCGCCCCGTACTTGCTCCCTTCTACACCCCCCTCCATGTCATTTCTAGACTGCTTTGTCAGAAAACAAAGGCCCTGAACCATTGGAGGAACCTATTTCTCCCAGGAAGTTCTTATCACTGGGAAGGAGGAAAAGCTTTAAGGATCACTGCCCTTAAAAATCAGCAGATGGTTTCTTCCTGGAAGAGATGAAGGAGGTACTTTTGTTCTGACCCAGTTCAGTTTGCCGTGATTACACTCTGGATTTACTTTTTTGTATCTTCAGCTTTTGTTTTAACTTTAAAAAAAAATTTTTTTTTGGCTTTTGGGCCTCTCCCAGTAGTGCTCAGGGATAACTCTTTACTCAGGAATCACTCCTGGTGAGTTTAGGGGAACATATAGGATGCCAGGAATGGAACCTGGGTTGGCTGCATGTGAGGCAGGTGCCTTACCCACTGCACTGTACTATCTCTCTGGCCCCATGTCCTCAATTTTGTAAGAAGAGAAAGGAAGCCACTGCTATTCTCTTCCTGAGAGGAGAGATTTTTGTTTCAAGAATAACCAAGCTCTGAATACCCAGAGTGCCACTCGCTTCCCCAAGTCCTTCTGGGAAAACATTGAGATCTCTGAAACGGGAAACTCTATGGAGTATCTTGCATTTTTGATAAGCCAAGAACCCGGACCATTGACTTTTCCAAGTGGATGATTAGGTTTTCAGATGAATGAATAGTTTCCATTTGGCTATTCATTCAAGCTTCAGAAGATGAGACCTTTCATGTCATTTTGTGTCTATTGTGTGTGTGTGTGATTTGTGTGCTGACCTTCTCGCGAACAAACTTACAGATTGCTTGTTTTGTTAGTAATCAAAGAGAGGCTAGACCAAGCCCCCAGACCCTTGTCTGGTCTTGTCTTCCAGAGTCGCAGCCATTTGAAAAACAGCTTGCCAGAGTTTGGGTGTGTGGAAGGTGGGTAATGGAGTGTAAATTTTATGGGTCCGTAAGGAAATAAAATCTGTGCCTTTTGCGTTTTTTGGCACCACCTCCCTTGAACCAGCTATGCCAGCTGAACCAGCCACGCTAAGAATGGATGTAACACGTGGAGATGATTGTTTCTTCATCCTATTTTGGAAAAGAGAAAGCTGAAAAGCAGCAGCTTCTCCAAGGGTATCCAACAAATCAAGAGCAGGTCTGGGGAGAAAAAAAAATTAACCTTTCCATCATTCACACCATTGTTTACTTACAAAGCCCTTCCTTTCATTTTTTTGGTGAATCACATGAATATCTTATTTGTCCACTTATTCAGTGAATACTTAATTGGCAGACACTATGAGTTACACGTTATATTGTCTATCTAGTGATGATTAGCTTATGAAGGAAAAGAACCAGGACTGGGATACTTAGGGTAATTGAGAAATAGGCTGAGTTGTTCTTCTGGTTTTTGGGCCACACTTTGCAATACTGAACTCAAGGATGATGGCTGGTGGGGCTCAGGGGGGATCATATGAGGTGCCAGGGATTGAATCTGAGTTGCCCCATGCAAAGCAAGCACCCTGCGTGCTCTGCTATCTTTCCAGCCCCTTTCAGTCTTTTTCTAACCATGCCTGTCTTCCAGCCTTGTCTCCTTCCTTTGGACCCCCACCCCAACAGTTGCCTTCCTAGTCTTTATTTATGTGATTTTTTTACCTGTGCCTCCCCACCCTTCCAGGAGCACACAGGCAGGCCATGTTCCCCCACTCACCACCCCCTCACACCACTGTTCTGGGCTTAGGACAAGGGGATATAATGGCCTCAGTGTGACAGGAGACCCGGGGCGGGGTGGGGGGGGGGGGAGGGGAGAAGCAATCTGCAAGCTGAAAAGGCTCCACGCCTGCCCCTCCTGCAGACAGGCCATACTTTTGCAATGCTGAATTCAAGGATGATGCAGGTGGCAGCTTAGCATGGGAACAGTCTGGGCCCCTCCTTCAAAATGCGGATCTGAGCTTGAGGTTGAGGATGTGGCTAAACAGTGTCACCCACCAGAGAGCCCTTCTCCATTCCTGAGCTGAGACCCAAGAATAGACAGGTCTGCACCCCCAACATTCCTTCCTCTCTGTTGAAAAACTGACTTCTAGGGGACATGAAAGAGGCCTGGCTGGGAGAGAGTTCGAAATAAAACCAGGAAACGAGGAGGGTGGGGCAGGCTGGAAGGGCTCTGTGTGTTTACAATCGATTGTCCACTGTGTTCCAGCAATTGAATTGTAAGGAGCCCTGTAGTGTTTGCCTAGCTGCTGTGCCTCGGCCACCAGCTGTGTAAATCAGCTGTTCTGTTTTGTTTTAATTTCCCAGTAAAACCCAGCGATACAGTTGTACGGGAGCAAGAAGAAGACAGGCTTGTGAGGGGCAGGGAGTAGATACCTGGTCTCAGCAATTCAAAAAGGCGCTCTCTTTCTCTCTCTCTCTCTCTCTCTCTCTCTCTCTCTCTCTCTCTCTCTCTCTCTCTCTCTCTCTCTCAGTGAATTGCTTTCCCTCTGAAGTAGCATCCCATCTGCCTGGCTACTTAGCTCGGGGAAGGGCAAGCTGTTATTCCCATTTATGGAGGAAGCCAAATTGGTTTGCAGGCCTCCAAAGAAGGACTGTATATTTTTATACTCTTGGGCAAGCTTTTCTGTTCACCTGGAATTATCTTACCCCCCAACCCACTTGTCAGGATCCTGATCTGCTTTGAGGTTATCTGGTAAGATTAAACTCCGACTCCCTCCTCCTTTTCTGCATTTGCCTAACTACTTGTTTCGTCCTTCTTTTGAACCCAGAAATATTTTCCCCTGATTTTTACACCCATTTACAGCCTATTGTAAACTAACTTTCAGATTCTATTGGGACCTTTTTTGGAGGGGTGGGGGGTTTGGGTGTCACATCCAGTGATGGTCGGGTCTGTGCTCAGGGATCATTCCTGGTGGGGCCCGGGGAATGATCTGGAGTGCCAAGGATCAAAGCTGAGTCACCTGCATGCAAAGCGAGCACTGACCCGCTGTATTGTTACTCCAGCCCTATATTGGGACCTTTCTGAGGACAGTGACTGAGTCAGAAAAATAAACCACAATTATAGTAGTCTCTAACATCAGCTAAACTCTATCTTTGAGGAGACTCTATAGGAAGTACTTTATTCTGTCTTCATTATATTTCTACTTTGTGTCAATTTTCTGGGCTGGAGCGTTAGCACAGCGGTAGGGAGTTTGCCTTGCACACAGCCAACATGGCCGACCCGAGTTCGATTCCTCCGCCCCTCTCGGGGAGCCCGGCAAGCTACCCATGATGTATTCGATATGCCAAACACAGTAACAACAAAGTCTCCAATGGAGACGTTTCTGGGCCCGCTTGAGCAAATCGATGAACAACGGGAGGACAGTGACAGTGAGAGCTAATAAAGAGAAAGCTGTTGACCTCCAGCTTTCCACCTCTCCTGTGGTTCTTTCTTGGTGACAGTGGGGGCCCAGGGTGCACAGAGGGGCAGGGCAGAGGCTTCTCCCCTTCCCACTCCCTCTCCTATAGGGAGTAAGTCTGGTGGCTTTAGGGATCATACTCCAGTTTGCCAGGGTTGACTGGCCAGGACCCTGACAGTGGACTTGTTTCATATCTGGAATTGGAATTCTTTCCACCGTATTTCGCCGAACTGCTCTTCTCTCCTCCTTTTCTCCTTGCCCCATCCCCACCTCCTGGCAGAGAGCCTTACTACTATATAGAAGGACCTGATGACGATACTGGATGGTAACTAGAACTGAGAAATTGACATTCTGATGGTTACTTGGCTTATTGCAGTAAACCAAATCTAGATTCTAGTTCCCAACTCAGAGCCTTTTCTTCCAGGCTACTTTATTATTTCAGGCAGAGAGAAAAAGGAACTAATCTGGCAACTGTACAGAATAAAGGAATGGGAGTACGGTGTGTCTGTGATAGAGTTACGGAGATTCTCTTGAACCTATTTCAGGCAGGGGGGAGTTACGAGAGCAGAATGACTCCAAGTGAAACTGAAAGCAAGTTAATTTGTCAGGCTTTTGCCTCTCCTGACTTATTTCCAGTGTTCTGTGGGTGAGAGTGCAGACATTTTCAACATTTTGTACTTATTCCATCCCATAACAGGACGTTAACAGGACACCCCACCATGGAAGAGACCACAGAAGAACCCCCCACATCAGCTGTGTTCCTGGATAATCATCATTTCTCTCAGGTTATCTTCAACAGCGTGGAGAAATTCTACGTTCCTGGAGGGGATGTCACATGCTATTACAGCCTCACTCAGCATTTTGTGCCCCGCCGGAAGGACTGGATTGGCATCTTTAAAGTAAGTTATACATTTAATACCAAGTGACTGCGATCTAGAGGTGAATCTTAGTTATCTGAGCATGTGACTGTCTCTGTATTATAAGCAACTTTAATATTATATCTGACCAATTTTATTTAATTTGGGGGGTTTTGTTTTGGGGCCACACATTGCAGTGCTTAGGAGCTATTCCTGGCCCAGTGCTCTGCTGGGCATCAAGTCTACGCTCAGTCCATTGAGCTCTCGCTTCTTATGTCTGGTCAGTGTGTGTGTGTTTATGTGTCTGTATATATGTGTCTGTGTGTCTCTGTGTATGTGGTCAGTTGAATTTTCTTATTTTGTTTTGTTTTTATTTTGGGGGCTACACCTGGTGATGGTCAGGGCTTACCCCTAGCCTTGCACTCCGAGATCATGGCTGGCAGGCTCAGGGAACCATTTAGGGTCCTGGGGATCAAACCCAGGTTGGCCACTGGCAGGGCAAGCACCCTACCTGCTGTGTTATTGGTCCAACCCAATCCAATGATTTGTCTCTTGAAGGAAGTGTGCCTTGCTTCTTTGTAAAGATTTCCAAGGACAAAGCTTATGCGCTTCATTGCAGCCCGCTTCCAGAGTCCACTCCCCCCTGGACTCCTTTTAGTTCTAGTACAGAAATGTGCTGCTTCCCTGCTCCCTGCCTGATCTGTCTTTCCCATTACATTCACTCACATGCCATAATAGCAAATCTTCCTGTTTTCAGAGACAGGAGATAAAGGTCAAATTTAAGTAGTTTTCACTGCTGAGTGCCAACATCGCTGACCTTTGTTTTGACACTTCAGTATGTCATGTGCTTGTTGGCCAGTGACGCTTATCCTGAAGCACTCATGACTCCTGCCCGACTGGGAAGGAGCTGATGCTTTTTCCCATTTATCACCAATTCATCCTTCCTTAATGCTTTGGGATTCTGAGCTAATTAATGGAGCAATGGAAGCCAGAACTCTAACTTGACTGTCAGTGGCAAGGGGAGCAGACAGCCAGAGGGGTCACGAGGGCTCCTGAGCTAGGATATTGAGTCAGAAAACTGACTGCACACTGACACACTGAAAACCCCTAGAAGGGTTTTTCCTTCTCTCTTTATAGCACGGCGTAGAGATCAACCCTGTCCAGTGCAACTTTCTGCTTCATTCTTGTTATTGGTTTTGAGTTTTGGTTTGGGGGCCACATCCAAATTATGCTCAGGAACCCAAGGCTTGGGGGCCATTTCAGTTGGTGCTGGAGTACCTTGTGGGTCCAGGGATTGAGTTGAAACCTCCTGTAGGCAAAGCTTGTGTACTGGTCCTTTGAGTTATCTCTCCAGCTCTGTCCACTCAAATTTTCTGTGAAAGAGAACTCGCCCTTCACCATCCAGTACTGTAGCCTGTAGCCATATGTAGGCATCAGGTGTTCAGACTGTGGCTGGGGGGTCCAGAAGGGGAGTCCAAAGGGCTGAGTATATGCTTCCCATGCCGGGGTTCTAGGTTTGATCCCTGAGCACTGGTCCAGGAGTTGCCCCTGGGTATGGGGCATGGCCTGGGTATGGCCCAACACCTCCCTTAATCTTTAATCTTTAAACCAAATAGGTGCTGGAGCGATAGCACAGTGGGTAGGGCATTTGCTTTGCACAAGGCTGACCCAGGTTCGATTCCCAGCATCCCATATGGTCCCCTGAGCACCGCCAGGAGTAATTCCCGAGTGCATGAGCCAGGAGCAACCCCTGTGCATCGCCAGGTGTGACCCAAAAAGCGGAAAAAAAAAAAACCAACATAACATGACTAGTGTTCACCCCAGGGATATGGCTCAGCAGCAGTAGAGCACATGCCTGGGGTGTGAGAGACCCTGGGTTCAATCTCCCTATACACACACACACACACACACACACACACACCAGAAACAAACACCCACAAAATAGTGGATGGTATTGCTGAATTTTTAATTGTATTTAATTTTTAATTGTATTTAATTCATGTGTGTGTAAATAAAAAATTGGAAACATAATATACTGGCGCCGTGTAATCCCATCAACGGCCAAGACTAAGAGACTAAAAATCCAGCTCCCGGACGAGAACAGTGCAGTCTTCTGCCCCCGCGCCTGGCTGTTCCTCGCCGGGGCCCATTGGAGGGGAGCGGGTTGAGCTTTCCTCCCCGCCCCGACCAGGGCTCCAGCAGCCGAAGACCTCCAGGACCAGCCACCACCATGCTGAGACCACTCTCCACACACATGAAGGTACTGGCAGAAGGACAAATCCACGCAGGTTCCGGGGCCGAGATCTCCCAGCCTACTCGGATTGGAGTCGAGCATCCTCCACCCAGATCCTCCAAATTCCAGTAGGTGGGGGTCACACCCACCACCTGGCCCCCTGGCGCCGTGTAATCCCATCAACGGCCAAGACTCAGAGACTATAAAATTCAGCTCCTGGAACCATGCGGCCGCATTTGCGGCCGCGCGACATCTTATCAGGACATCTTTTTATGACATCTTATTATCTCATTCCTACTTTGGACAAACTTGCAGGCTATCGAATGTAGCCTGCCCACAGGGCAGAGTCTGGCAAACTCCCCATGGCGTACCAAATATGCCAAATACCAGTAACAATGATGGGTCTCATTCTCCTAAAGAGCCTTGAATATAATCTCAGGGTTAGGATGAAAGAGACGTTACTGGGGCCTGCTCGAGGCAATCGACGAATAACAGGATGATGAAATGAAATGAAATATACTGAGGAAGACACTTACTTGCCTTGCATGCAGCTGACAGGGTTTGATCCCCGGTACTGCATATTGTTGCCCTGAACCCCGCCAGGAGTAATCCATAAGCCAAGAGTGAGTCCTGAGTACCACCAGGTATAGCCCCAAACCAAGAAAGAAAAATAGATGCCCTCCTATGGCCAGTCAGTTGTAGGTTTTAGGTTATATGAAACATAATTCAGATATTACTAGCTTTGGGACCATTTTTTTTCAATTTAGTTATGTCTGTTTAGATCATAGATTGATCATATTTCCCAAACATTTAGAAGTGCCTTCTGAGAAACTTCACCATAAACCAAATATAAATCTTATGCTTTCATAAAAAGCAACATTTTTGGTTTTGTTTCTGGCCACACCCAGCAGTGCCAGAGCCCTCGGATCACACCCAGGCCTCCCACACGTGAAGCATGCTCTCCAGCCCGCTAAGCTCTCTTGTGAAACAAAGAGGAAAAATAATTTTTGTTTTTGTTTTGGGGCCACACCAGGCGATACTCGGGTTACTCCTGACTCTTCACTCATCAATCACTCCTGGCAGTACTTGGGGCTCTATATGGGATGCCGGGGATTGAACCCAGGTTAGCTGTGTACAAGGCACTTTACCTGCTGTGCCTCCCTAGACAAAACCTTAATAGCGTTTTTTAGGTAGAACTTTTTTTCTAGGGGTGGTGGTTGTTATTATGGTACTCTAGGGTTACCAGACCTCACCAAGGAGTCACACATGCCTACGTTGAGCTCAGGGTTTCATACATGCAAGGCATGTGCTCTGTCCCTGGGGTCCCACCCTAGTTGTCTTTGATTTGTATGCCTAGTGTTGGAGATCAAACCAAGGGCTTCATACATCCTAGTAGGAACTCTGTCCAGCTACATCCTGAGCCTGCTTTTTTTCCTTCTTTTTTTTTTTTTAAAATAGCAATATTTGCAGTGTTTCCTCCCATTTCAGGGGCATTGCCTAACCTCACAATAAAGAAATCATGGTTAGCGGGTGGAGTGAGAATACAGCAGGTAGGGCGCTTGCCTTGTACGCGGCTGATCCCTAGCACCCCATATAACCTCCAGGACCACCAGGAGTGAGCCCTGAGGGCAGAGTCAGGAGTAAGCCCTGAGTCTAGCCAGGCATGACCCTCCATACAACACAAATAAACGAAGTGGGTAGGAGTTGACTTTCTTCCTTCAAGGTGGAAACACCCCATCCTTTTCTTCCAGTGGGCGTTTAAGTACTCCACAGCTTCAGAGGGGGAAATGTTATACCGCAGGAGGCAGGCATGGCTGAGGACCCCTCAGACAGTGGAGACTGAAGGCTGAAATTGCAGGTAGTGAGAGGTTGCTTCCTGGTTCCAAGGCAGCGGTAATTCTTAGGCTTCCTAGATGGTATTTTGGTCATAGTGCATTAAGAAGCTCCAGGATGTGAATGAGAACTCCATAAAATTCTGTTTCCTGTTGGCTTGCAGACTGCAGTAAGCTCCAAGATGTTTACAGCAATGGGGAATGTATTAATGAGACACTAAAACATGCCCTCGTCTCTTCTGATGAGCTCTCAGCACAACCTTTTCAACTCAGCTCTGGTTTCTTAATGTACCCAAAAAAAAAAAATTTATTTGTATTTCTTTCTCTTCCCACCGGGCTCAGGCAGGATCAAAATATGGCAATAAACGTAATTTTGCGTCTAATTTGCTGAGTATTCGCCCCTTGAAGATACAATGGCTCCCTTCCTATTCTCTGGTGTGCCCTTATCTTCCAGAGACAATTTAAGCCATCTTTTACTCTTCTTCACATTTAGTGAGAGGTTTTCCACTTAGCCAGCTCTGAGACATGTTTTACGTCTCCTCTCTTATAACGTACTTCATTCAATACCTAGAAGCCTTTATGACTACCAGTTTGTTGCTATTATCTTTAGCTCTGAAAGTCCTTCATTAAACGTGCATTAAGACAAACACCAAAAAAAAGAAAATTACACAGGTTTGGGGCTGGAGTGATAGCACAGCGGGTAGGGTGTTTGCCTTGCACGCGGCTGACCCAGGTTCGATTCCCAGCATCCCATATGGTCCCCCAAGCACCACCAGGAGTAATTCCTGAGTGCATGAGCCAGGAGTAACCTCTGTGCCTCGCCGGGTGTGAGCATTACCAGTTCTGCTATGTGGATCAGGACGGTGTGATCCGGGGTGCAAGTATCCCATTCCAGTTTCGTCCAAAAAAAAAGAAAAAAAAAATTACACAGGTCTGGACTCATCTGCTGCCTCAACCTGAGAACCCTCTTTCTCCTTCCCCCTCAATGCGTGTATTCAAAAGGGTTATTTTCTAGGCTGGAGCAATAGCACAGCATGTACATTTGCCTTGTACATTGCTGACTCAGGTTCGATTCCCGGAACCTCATATGGTGATTGCCAGGAGTGATCCCTAAGTGCAGAGCCAGAAGTAAGCCCTGAGCATTACAGGGTGTGACCCCCTACCCGCAAAAAGGGGGCATTTTCAAAGAGCAATGGTATAACTAAGTCATTATAAGCAGTTGGGACTGAATTGGCCATAGCAGAAGATAATCCAATGGGAAGGACAGATTGAAAGTGCTTCCTGATTAGAAAATTCCTGAAGATAAGAAGATAGAGGGATCAAAGTTCATAATTCTGCATTCAACATGGAGAATTTTCAGAGCTCTTAGTATGGGTGCTGAGTAGTTTTCATTTTCTTTTCAGACATATTTTAGTCCCCAGCTTCTTAAACTGTGGCATGGTCAAGTAACATTTTAAAATTTTAAGGGGCAAGAAAGAAAGTACAGTGGGTAGGGCGCTTGCCTTGCACGTGGCAAGGTTAGATCCCTGACATCATAAGAGGTGGCCCAAAAACAAAACAAGTTGTTTTAAAATAAATATAAATACATTTTAAGAAGACATCACCAGAGAGATTGTACAGCAGGTAGGGCACTGAGCTGAGCCCACCAGCTGAGCCCACCTCCCCTGAGCACCTCCAGGAGTGATTTCTGAGCACAAGGCTAGGCAGAGCTCGTATGCCCCACTCCCCCATAAAAGGACATTGCCCAATTATCTTCCATGAGCACTTGAAAATGCTGAATGTCATTGTCATTGTAGGTGGGATGGAAGAGCACCCGCGAGTATTTCACCTTCATGTGGGTGACTTTGCCCACGGACCTAAACCATGAAGCAGCCAAACAGCAGGAAGTTCGCTTCAAAGGTAAGAGAAAACCCCAGGACTCTTTTCCTGGAGCAGGAGCTTTCTGGGCAGATAAAAGGCTTGCAGGTTTTTAATTTTCTGACTAGATCTTATCTTGGATTAAAAATCCTGCCTATGGGCCAGAGAGAAAATACAGCAGGGGAGGGTGCTTGCCTTGTATGCGGCCAACCTGAATTCAATCCCTGGCACCCATAGGGTCCTCCAAGCACCACCAGGAGTGATCCCTGAGTGCAGGGCCAGGAGTAAGCCCTGAGCACTGCTGGGTGCGATCACACACACACACACACACACACACACACACACACACTAAAATAAAAAATCCTGCTTGTATTTTTAGCTTATTACCTGCCCAAGGATGATGAGCATTACCAGTTCTGCTATGTGGATCAGGACGGTGTGATCCGGGGTGCAAGTATCCCATTCCAGTTTCGTCCAGAAAATGAGGAGGATATCCTGGTTGTTACCTCTCAGGTCTGTAAGCATCTTACTTCAAGCCTTTGGGGCTACTAAGAATAGGCACTGGAGATTGGGGTCAGTGTGTAACGTGCTTGCCTGCACACAGCCAACCTGGGTTCAATCCTTGGCACCACATACAGGTCCCTGAGCCCTGCTAGGAATAATTCCCGAGTGCAGGACTGGGGAGATAGCAGACTGGAGCACAAATTTTGCCAACAGGAGGTCCAAATTCCATCACAGCACAGCATGGTTCCCTGAGCACTGCCATGAGCAAACCTTGAGCACCAAGCTGGGAGTACTCCCTGAGCACTGCCAGGTATGGCCCCAAAAAAATAAGCAACAAAAGAATAGCAACTCCAGGGCATCATTGAGTCAATTCCACTTTTATTGACTGCCTAACAAATAATGCTGGGAAAAATATACAGTCTGCGTCAAGCCCACTCAGAAATGCTGTACAACTGTTGACAGTCGTATAATAAACCTCCCTCTCCCTCACTTGGCATTCAGTGACTCCCTTAAATTTTCCAGTTACATAATTTTTGTTACATATTTTTCACATATTCACAGTAAACGTACAGGTTCCTTTGAGGAAAAAAGGGCAAAATATTCTTTGTGGATCTCCTTTCTGCCATCTAAAAGGAGTAACTTCATTTACTTGATGTTATGTAACTGGAAATCTGCTTTGTTTGAGCACATGGGAGCTAAAGGGACGTGCTAAAGAATCCTTTCAGGGCGAGGTCGTGTAGCTCAGTGGCAGTGCACATGCTTCACTGTACACAAGGCCCTGGACTCTGCCCCGGCCTTGAAACAAACAAAAGAATCCCCTCCCAGACTAGGGACAAAGCTCCATAGTAGAGCATTTGCCTTGCCCGAGAGGCCTGGGGTTCCATCTCTGGCATTGCAAAACAAATGGAAGAGAAAAAACCCTAAAACACTATCATATCATCAAGATCCAAATCCAGGCCCAGGAGGGACAGAGTTGCCTTGCACACAACACAAGTATAGTGCCACGGGCCAAAGTGCAGACATTGGGGCATTTTTGTTTTTTGACTTTTGTTTTGTTTGGGGGCCACACCTGACAACTCTAAAGGGTTACTCCTGCTTCTGTGCTCAGTGACCACCCATGGTGGTTCTCTGGGGACCATATGGGATGCTGGGGATTGAACCCGGGTTGGCTATGTACAGAGTAAGCACTCTATCGGCTATACTATCTCTCCAGAGGAGTGTATGAAGGAGCCCTCGATTCCATCCCCAGCACTTCCCGATCCCTGAAGTACCAAGCCAGAAGTAGCCCCACTATTTCCAGGTGTGGCACAAACAGAAATAAGCAGAAGGAGCTACACCCAGTAGGGGAGGCAGGCAGTGCCAAGAATTTCAAGAGGAATCTGCACTTTCCCCACTCCCTTTACCATTCTTTGGTTTTAGTTTCGTTTCTCTTTCTTGGCAGTGGCAGACTCTGACTGCAGTTGTGTTTCTGTTCCCCTCCCAGTGGGGTGCAGAGGGCATTACAAAGAGGGAACCGCAAGGTCAGCCCATGAGAATTTCCTCTCGAGGGAGCTATCAAGGGTCAAATGTGAAAGTATGCCATGTTCTTTCATAGGGAGAGGTGGAAGAGATTGAGCAAAAGAACAAAGAGCTTCGCAAGGAAAACCAGGAGCTGAAGGACAGCTGTGCCAGCCTCCAGAAGCAGAACTCAGATCAGCAGGCTGAGCTCCAGAAGAAGCAGGTATGGCTGTTGGCTAAAGGTGAACAAAGCAGGGAGTGGCCAGAGAGAACAGAGGACTGTGAACACACACTTGGCCTATGAGAGGCCCAGACTCAATCCCCTAAGCATGATTGGGAGCAGAAAAAGAAAAAGCAGGAAAAGTTGCAGGTTCTCCAGATACCTTGTTTCTACTCCTCTTCTGAATCATTCTTCAAATCAGCAGCTGATAGTAAAGGTTGACAATACTAGAGTCTAGGGGGCCAGAGGGGCAGAGGGACAGAGTTGCCTTGCACACAGCCAGTCCAGATTTGATCCCTGGCATCTCATATGGTCCCCCAAGCACTGCCAGGAATAATTCCTGCATACAGAGCCAGGAATAATCCCTGAGCATTGCCGGTGTGACTCCCCTCCCCCCCCGACACACCCAAAAAAAAAGCAAAAACTAGAAGTCATAGAGGAGATCTCTAAAGACTATAAACTATTGTCCCAGGAATCACAGCTTAGAAGTTTCCCAATATAGGTGGTTTCCCAACACCGATCTAGGTGGTCCCACCTGTGAAAACCTTAATTTCCTACTGAGGCCCAGAGGAGAGGCGAGGGATGTGTCCGTGCCACGCTGAGTGGGGCCTCACTTGTCTCAATTCCAAGACACGACCCGGTCCCGTGCTCCTGTGAAGAGCTCAGCACAGGGCTGGCCCAGAGTGTTGCTCATCGGGCCCAGGCAGTGAGATGCCACACAGAAGTGGCCAGGCACAGCTCACAGCCAAGAAACATCAGCCAGGCACCCAGCAGCCTGCTCCACAGGCTCCACGCTAGCCAGAGTCGGGGTTCTCGGATATGTATCTCCGTCATTGCACCTACTGCAAGTCAGTTCGGTGATGATGACGAAAGGCAGTAGCTACTCAGCATCTGCTGTGTCCCAGGCACTGGTGAGCTCTGCAGTAAGTGTGAGCACTCCACTCTCTCATCTGCACAGCAACCCAATAAGCTGGAACTTGCTTGTGTGTGCCATTGCGTGGCTTCAGAATGAGCTGGGGTCTGGATTCAGTTTTTCGGATGTGAAAGCCATATTTTATTTTAGAAGCCCGATTATACAATGATGGTTAGGAACCTTGTCTTTGAATTCATACAACCTGATTCTGCTACTTATTATTCAGTGTGCCAGGAGAGAGGTGAATGGCAACTGTTGTGTCAGTGAGGGGTCCATATACCCATGTCCACGGCAGCATTTCTCACTGTGGCCAAAGGGTAGAAGGGGCTGGGCGTCCAGTGACAGACAGATGAGTAGGCCTGGAGTGGTGGAAATGTGGAATACTATTCCCCTTAAAGGGAAGAAGGAATCTCTAACACAGGCTGCAGCATACTTGAGCCTTGAGGACTCTTGGAGCCAGACAGAGACCGTGTCTGAATCCTCTCACTGAGGGGACCTTATCTTTTTTTTTTTTAATTGAATCACCATGAGAACAGTTACAAAGCTTTCAGGTTTAAGTCTCAGTCATACAGTGATCAAATACCCATCCCTTCAACAGTGCACATGTTCCACCACCAGGAACCTCAGTATACCCCCCCATCCCACCCCTCCCCCTACCAGTGTGTCATATGATTTCCACTTTACTCTCCCTCTACTTTGATTGCATTAAATTTTTCAACAGAAGACCTACCATTATTATTTGGAATTTTCCCCAAATATTTAGACCTTCTGAGAAGCCATCATTAGATAGTTTGTTTTCTATTGCTGATAATGAAGAGCATATTGGATTTCTGATGTTTTAGTAATTAAGTCCGGAGGGATTTCTGCCAGAAGCCGCTGGGTTCCGAGATTGGTTTGTGTCCCTCTGGGAACATGGCCATTCAGGAGCCGGAGGAGCCGTTTGTGGGCAGCAACTCGGGGTCTCGTCGGGACGGGGAGAAGGGTCGGTTCCAGCTCCCATCCCATGAGGCCCCACATGCCTGTCACTGCAGGCGCGTACCTCTCAGTCCAGTAGACTCTGAAAGATGGCAGTCACCATGCCACTGAGGAGAAGAAGGCAGAAGGGACAATGCCCTCCCTCCGCCCTCCCCCAGGGTGGCACGAGGCCATAGCTTAAGTCACAGTCCAGAAGCATGAGCCATCATGAGATACAGCTACAAAGCTTTCATGTTTGATATTCAGCTATACAATGATCGATCACTCATCCCTCCATCAGTGAAAACTTTCCACCACCAATATCCCCATTATCCCCTCCATTTCCATCTCAGTCTTTAGAGGAGACCTTATCTTCAGCTTATCAGAGAGAAAGTGAACTGGTGGTTGCTGGAGGAAGGCTGGCGTGGGGAGTCAGTGTTTTATAGGCGTGAGTGTTGGCAGAATGAAGAGTTCCAAGGTGGACATGGTGATGGCTTCAGAAAAATGGGAATATTCTAAAGCCTCTAGACTGTGCTTTAAAATAGTCAGGGTGGGACCAGGGATGTAACTCAGTGGAAGCTCTTGACCTCTGTGTGTGAGGCTCTGGATACAAATCCCAGCACCATAAAATCAAGTAATAAAAGAAAAATAACATGGTAAGTGTATGTCTTAATTTTTAATAAAATATTTTTTAAAAGCCATAAACCAAAAATTCAGAATCTTGAAGCTAAAATCAAAAAGTGGTTACTGTCACATATGGCTGGCTTTGGCACAGAATAAAATTGGGAAAGAAAAATGAATAATAAGCACATTACTTAGGGTCACCACTAACCACAAGTGGTTATTAAACACTTGTAATGTGATATAGTGAGATGTGCTGTAAACATAAACTGTAAACCTGATTTTTAAACCTGAATATAAAACAATATAATTTCCTATTTTGTTTACATATTGAAATAAATTTGGGTAAGTAAACTGTTCATGAAACTGCTCTTCTTACTCTTTAATGTTTACTAAAATTTTTAATTGTAGGTGTAACTTTTGTTAATTTATTGGACAGTAGTATTCAGAGAAAAGCAATTTTATTTTGTCCACTGCTGTGTCTATATAGCACCAGAACAGTGTTCAGTGGTGAAGAAGCACTCATTAAATATTTGTTTAGTGAGTTGGCAAGTACTAGCGTCAGTGTATGAGAAATTATGGTAGATGCATTTTATTTTTTTAATTTTAATTTTTCAGTTTTTAATTCTGGAGCCACACCAGTGCTGGGTTCGGGCTATTCCCAACTTGATGCTTAGGTGCCAGGATGGAATCCGAGCCTTCCACATACAAAGCATCCTTTCTAGCAATTTGAAGCAGTTTCCTGGCCCCTCTTTATTTTTTCAACTGGGAACTACAAAGAGAGCCCTATTATGGGCTGGTCAATCCCTGACACATATGGTCCCCCAAGAACCAACAGAAGTGACCTTTCAGCACAGAGGCAGGAGTTAACCCTGAGCACCACCTGGTGTGACCCCATAACAAAACAACAGCAACAAAATTTTTTAAATGAGAGGACCTTTAGGGCCCAGAGCAATAGTACAGCGAGCAGGACATTTGCCTTTCACGCAGCCAATCTGGTTCAATCCCTAGCATATGGTCCCTTCATAGGTCCTCTGAGCCCCACCAGGAGTGGTCCCTGAGCACAAGCCAGGAATAAGCCCTGAGCACCTCCAGGTGTGGCCCAGAAACAAAAACAAAAATAAACCTAATGGGCATTTAATATGTTTAAAACCTTTACTGGGATATTCGCTCTCAACGGAACGACCATCTCCGAATGCAACAGCTATGTGTACCTAGGTCGAGAAGTCAACATGACAAATGACCTGGCACCCGAGCTGCGCAGGAGGAAGAGAGCGGCTTGGAACGCCTTCAAGAACGTCGAAGAAATAGCTAAGAGGATGAAGAACCTCCGGCTCCGGGCACATCTCTTTGATTCCACTGTTCTTCCTGCATTAACATATGCCTCAGAGACCTGGGCCCTACGCAAACAGGATGAGAATGCTATTGAGGTCTCCCAAAGAAGAATAGAAAGAGCTATGCTTGGAATATCACGTTTCACTCAAATGAGAGAAAGAATCCAGAGTTCCGACTTCCGTCGACGATCAAGAATCAGGGACGCTGTCTCATTTGCCAAGGTGTCAAAAATCAGATGGGCTGGTCACGTAATGAGATTTAAAGACGACCGCTAGACTAGAGCTGTTACTGACTGGATTCCACGGGATGTCAAAAGACCGCGTGGCCGCCCACCTACCAGATGGTCAGACTTCTTTGTCAAGATCATGAACGATCGGTTTGAGGCTCTTCATATTCCCAAAGCGAACAGATGCCATTGGGCTACACTAGCACGCTTTTGACAGGGACAAATGGAGACGTTACTGGCGCCCACTCGAGCAAATCGACGACTAACGGGAAGTTAAGTGATAAGTGATTAAGTGACTGGGATATTCCATTCCCTACAATAGTTTTCTAGGCCTGACATCATAAGGGTTGAGTAAGTATCTGTTGGCTGTTAAGATTTAATTACAGGCATCTTAGGTGTGGTCTGTGCCTTTGACTTTCAATTTTCCAGGATGAGCTAGAAGCCCTGAAAGGCGCCAACCAGAAACTGGAACAGGAGGTGCAAAAGCAGCAGGACAGCTGGGAGACGGAGCTGCTCCCGTGAGTGTGGTTCTTGGGTACAGATACCCTTAGGGGAGGAGCAGGGGTTTGTTAGCAAATACTGTCTGGGAGGGCAGAGTGGACTCTCAGGGAGTGCTAGGGGTTCAGGGTCTACTCCTGATACTTGACCGTTGTGACCAGATGATTCAAAGTAAGCAGCCGAAGCTGTGGCTCTGCCAGGGCTCTGCAGGGACACCGCGGTGGTTGTCCCGGGCTATACTCACTGGTGCTTGGGGGGTGGAGGGGAGCGGGCATTCGATGCCAGGGATCTTACTAGGGTCCCACGCACACAAAGCATGTGCCCCTGACTTCAGCGCTATCTCTCCTGCTCCAGAAAACATGGTTTATGACAGTTGTAGATATAATTCCCCCACCCCCACCCCCTTTCAGTTAGTAGCTCTTTGATCCTAGTTTAGGGAACCAGTATCAGAATGGTTAAGAAATGATCTGAGTTTTAGTTTTCACAGAGCTGGAGAGTTAGTACAGGGGTTCAGGCATTTGCCTTGCTTGCAGCCAATACCAGTTCAATCTCTGGTATATATGGTCCCCTGAGCACTGCCAGGAGTGACCCCTGAGTACAGAGCCAGGAGTTGCTCCTGAACACCGCTGGGTCTGGCCAAATTGGTCCTGGCCACCCCCCTCACCATCCCCAGTGAGAACTGCAGGCTTAGGACCAAGGGAGGCTTTGGCCATGTAAGGCCCGGAAGTGGCCTGTGCTTTACAGAGTTGTCTCTACCTCTGCAGACTGAAAGAACAAAACCTGAAGCTCACCTCTGAGAATGAGAAGCTGGGAATAAGAGTGGACCAGCTTCAGGTAGGCGCTGCCCACCTTGGGAAATGTGTTTCTGTGCCTTGCTATATGGTATGGCTCAGAAGGATCGTTTCATCATTGCAATGGGTGCCTAATGGTGTGCTTCTATGTACTGTGTTGTAATTTTAGTGTCTCTTTCCTCTGTTCATGACATCAGTACTCACCCATTGATGGTTAATACTAATATTTTATAAGAAACAGAATATCTTATTTTGGTAGGGGAGGTGGAAGTTTTGGGCTATACCCAGTGGTGCTTAGTGCTTACTCCCGGCAGGCTCGGGGGACTGTATGGAGTGCTGGGGATTGAACCATGTCAGCTGCATGCAAGGCAAACTTCTTACATGTTGTATGATCGCTCCAGCCCTAGGAACAGAACAACTTAGTTTATTTCTACCACGATCTCTTAAAATGGATGATTGTTATATCAAAAGGACACTTCTATTTATTCTTATTTATTTATTATTTTATTATTATTTTATTTATTTATTTTGCTTTTTGGGTCATACCTGGCGATGCACAGGGATTACTCGTGGCTCTGCACTCAGAAATTACTTCTGGCAGTGCTCAGAGGACCATATGGGATGCTGGGAATTGAACCTAGGTCAGATGCGTGCAAGCACAGCCCTACCTGCTGTGCTATCGCTCCAGCCCCTCAAAAGGGCACTTTTAAAAATGGTTAGAGACAGGGATCTGGCTTGAGTGGTAGAGTACATGTCTTGCATGTCTGTGGTCCTGGGTTTGATCCATGGATTCACTGAGTATCAATAACCCCAAAATAGGTTTTTTGCCTTTTTTTTTTTTAACTGCATTTCAGATTTTTTTGAGTTGGAGCAATAGCACAGCGGGTAGGGCGCTTGCTTTGCACACGGCCAACCCAGTCGGTCCAGGTTCGATTCCTCCGCCCCCCTCGGAGAGCCCAGCAAGCTACCGAGAGTATCTCGCCCACACGGCAGAGCCTGGCAAGCTACCCGTGATGTATTCAATATGCCAAACACAGTAACAAGTCTCACAGTGGAGATGTTACTGGGCTCGCTCGAGCAAATGGATGAACAACGGGAAGAGAGTGCAGTGAAGTGCTAGATCCTAAGGATGTAAGAAAGAGAAGAAAAGTGAAGCAGTTTTCCAAGCTGTGAATTTCTAAGGAGCATACATCTCTTTATGGGAATTTATTTAAAAGTACTGGGGGCTGGAGCGATAGCACAGTGGGGAGGGTGTTTGCCTTGCACGCGGCTGACCCGGGTTCGATTCCCAGCATCCCATATGGTCCCCTGAGCACCCCCAGGAGTAACTCCTGAGTGCAGAGCCAGGAGGAACCCCTGTGCATCGCCAGGTGTGACCCAAAAAGAAGAAAATCAAATAAAAAAATAAAAGTACTGTTTGTGGGGCTGAGAGATAGCAAGGGCTTGTCTTGCATGCGGCCAACCAGGTTTAAATCCCTGCCACCACGAATGGTCCTCTGAGCACCACCAGGAGTCACTCCTGACCACTGAGCCAGGAAAAGTCCCTGGGCACTGCCTGGGGTGGCCCAAATTCTTCCCCTCAAAGATAGATAGATGTATTGTTCCTGGTTGATTTCCCTATTCAGGGTCTTTGGTTAGATTCCCTAATTTTGTTTTAGGTCCAGCTGTCAACTCGGGAGAAGGAGATGGAAAAACTTGTTCAGGAAGATCAAGATAAAACAAGACAGTTGGAACATCTGAAAAAGGAAAATGGAGAGCTCTTTATCAGTTTAACCACACAGGTAGAGCCATAGTGAAGTGAAACCCCCAGTATTCTTTACTCTGTCATGTGCTGGGTCTCCCCAATTGTGAGAAGTATCTCAGGAACCAGCTGAAATCAGATCACTCCTGGCTTCACTCATGAGCTAAGAGGGAAGGCTGGCTGCTCTCTGCATCTGACTTATGCATTAACCCAGTAGGCCTTTCGGTATATGTTTGGGGTGTGTGTGTGTGTCTGTGTGTCTGTGTGTGTCTGTGTGTGTGTGTGTGTCCCTGTACAAAGGAGGTGTGCGTGTGTCTCATCACTGGTATGGAAATCTGTTTTTGTGTAGAAGGGGCAGGGTGTGACTGTGTGTCTGTCTGTCGATTTTCCCCATCACTGGAATGAAAATCTGTTTTTTGTGCAGAGAGACCACTATAACAAGCTGGAACTGACAGTGCAGGAGATGAAGCTGAGAGAAACTACTGCAGCGAGCAAGCACCAGGCGATAATGGCATGTCTCTCTTTAGCTGGCTCTGTGGGAGGGAGCCTAGGGGAAGGGGGTGGGGCTAGACAGATAGAGCACTTCTCTGCATGCCGGTGCTCCAGCTACAACCCTGGTTTAAATCCCTGACACCACATATGGCCCCTTGGGGCCACTGAGGAACAGCCAGGAATAGCCCCATAGCACTGCTGGGTGTGGCCCAACCCCTACTCTCCTTCCTCCCAAAGGAAAGGTAGAATCACATCTGTTCAGGTGATAGAAAGGATAAGATGGACTGGAACCACCTTTGCTCTGAATGCTGTGTTCTCTATCCTGGAGGACAGAGATCGTGCTATCTTCAAAATGTTTAGGAGGAATGGCCACTTCTATTTTTTTTTCCATTTCTAATATTGAGTGGTGATCAATAATCCACTTCCTGAGGCTAGAGAGATAGTACAGTGGGTAGGGCACTTGCTGTGCATGTGGCTGACTGTGTTCCACCCCCAACACCCATATGGTTCCCCAACCCTCATAAACAGTGATCCCTGAATGCAGAACCAGGAGGCAGCCCCTGAACACCACTGGGTGTGCCCCCCAAAAAAACAAAACAAAACAACAATAACGAGAAAGAATCAGCTTCCTGTCAGATTGTTATAGATAAAACCTAGAGAGAGGAATCATGTAAAATAATATTCCCTTCTCATGGTGTCATGTCAGACGGGTTATAAAGTTGAGCTCTATGATAGGGAACTATTACAGCAGTCAAAAAAGTTATAATTAACAGAAATTATCATAAAGTATTGGAATAGAGAAATATACTTATGAAAGCCTAACTAGCTGATAATTTCTGATAATGCAGTGGCACTGCATTATCCATGGTGGAGACAGGCATCTAGAAACTTCTTTTTTTTTTTTCTTTTTGGGTCACATCTGGCAATGCACAGGGGTTACTCCTGGCTCTGCACTCAGGAATTACTCCTGGCAGTGCTCGGGAGACCATATAGGATGCTGGGAATCGAACCTCGGTCAGCCGCGTGCAAGGCAAATGCCCTACCTGCTGTGCTATCGCTCCAGCCTCAGAAACTCCATTTCTTGAACTGACATATGGTCATGAGGAATCCTGGTGTCTGGAAGAGATCCAGCCAAATAATCGTATCATGTGAAGTTTCAATGAATAACAAGCCATTCCACTGTTAATTCAGTTATTAAGGGTCTGTTATATATGAGATACTATATAGTTTAGTCAGGTATAATAAAAAGTAGAACCAATTGAAAATTCATAAGTATGAATTAAGTTTAACCAGAAGAATGTATGTTAGGCTTATTTTTAAAAATAAATTAGTTACCATACTTTAAAATGGGACTGTTTCCCATAGGAGAAATTGCATGTTCCGCTTCTCTTAGAAAATTAGAAGTGGGCCAGAGAAATAGTACAGACCAGTTTGATTCCTATCCAAGAACCATTAGAAGTGATCCCAGAGCCAGGAGAAAACCCTGGTGTGGGACAACCAGGTGTGGAACAAAAATTAAAATCAGGGGCTGGAGATATAGTACAGCAGGTAGGGCACTTACCCTGCACATAGCCAACCCAGATTTGATTGCTGGTACCCCATATGATGCCCAAGCCCCACCAGGAATGATCCCTGAGTGCCAAGGCAGGAGTAAGACCTAAGCACTGCCAGGTGTGGCCCAAAAACCAAACCAAAATATAGACTCTGGCAGCACATGGCAGCCCACAGCGTTATCCAGAGCTGAGCAGTGGCTACGCCCAGCCAAAAATGGGAGACATCTTCCCTACTTGACTACAGCTTTCACCGCTTTCACCTCCTTTATTCACTTACATTGCTTGCCCTGGCCACTAATGACATACTGAGTATGTGACCCCAGCTAGAAGTCAAGAAACTTCTAGTCCTCAAAAGTTCGAATCTCTGCAGGAAAGGTCTGTGTTTCCTTGGTGTGCATGAGTTGTGTTCAAGACCCAGAGCTTCCCTCCCCAGCTATCTAACAGCAACTCTTTATTCCTCGCATATCCAGAAGGCCCCTAACTCTGAGGACTATGTATCTTATACTTCAGGAGCCTAGGAACAAGAGAGCAACATTGGAGGAGCAGTTAGTGCAAGAGGTGGACCGCTTAAAGGCAGAGGTAGAGGCCTATTTCTTAGAGAAGTGCAAAGAGTGCCAACGTCTCCACAGACAGATCAGGCAACTCAGGGCTGCTGCACTGGTAGGTGACAGAGACAAGGGCCCAGGAAGCAAGGGGTGTGAAGGTGGTGGTGGTTTTTAGCCCAAGCCCCAGGGCAGGAACCCGTGTTAAAGCATAACTTTCTCTGCCACGAGGAGAAGGGATGGAGGGTGAGCCCGAGTCCCTAGAAACAGCATCTCCATCCCAGCCTGGGTCTCTGGATCTCTGCGCCTCTGCACAGATCCAGCTGGTTCTCTCTTATTTCTGCCTTTTTTTTTTTTTTGGCTTTTTGGGTCACACACGGAGATGCGCCGGTATTACTCCTGGCTCTGTACTCTGGAATTACTCCTGGCAGTGCTCGAGGGACCATATGGGATGCTGGAGATTGAACCTGGGTCGGTGCAAGGCAAACGCCCTACCTTCCGTACCAATCTACCAGCCCCTTATTTCTGCCTTTTGAGGAAGTGATGTAGGACCAGACAAGCCAGCAGGCGCCAGTGGGGCTGGAGAGCCAGGAGCCTGCAGTCAGCCCTGCCAGTGAGCAGCTCCTCAATCTGCCGTCTGTGCTCCAGCTGGCCAGGGAGCACAGCACAGACACCTGAGAGTCTTTGCTGGCACCAACAAAGTCCAAAGTCTGGGGGTTGGGTGGACACACCTGCTTGGATTCATTCAGGTGTTAGGGTGATGTCTGCACATATGTGCCCATATAGGTAAGGAGCTGGGCAGTGCAGAAATCTGCCAGGAAGGGCATCCATAGCAGTGACCCCCTGAAGTGCCCACTGGGCCCCGAACACTGGACAGCCTAGCTTCTTGTGTCTGGGGGTCCCTCCTCCTCCTCCCCCACCCCCCCCCAGCTGTTTTCACACCCTCGGGAGGGAGTATTTCACGCTGCATTGAGTGAGGTGTTTATTGAGGACAAAGATGATTATCTCCATGGTTGGGTGGGATGAAATAAGGCTCCATTTATCCCTAATTTATAAGCCAGGCTGTCTTTATCTCTCTTTGTTCACTTGTACTCCAGGTTATCTCTTTGTTCACTTACACTTCCCACTGAACCCAACGGAAACTGGCATCTTGATGCCAGCTCAGACCTTCAGGCATTTTTTAAGTCAGCTTTCATAAGCCACTGTCCTCCCTCCCTCTTCTTCCCGCTCTCTGCTTCCTCTCTCCCACTCCTCAGTTCCCCCGTTTTAGAAAGCCAGATACTCTGTAGTTTGTTTCACCTTGCCTGGATGCTGTTTCAATGTGTGATCCTAATCCTAATTTTCTTAAAAACAATTATTGACAGGATGAGAACTTTGACCTGTCAAGAAGACTAAGTGAGAACCAGATGATATGCGATGTTCTGCAGAGAGAGAAAGAACAACTGGAAAGAGAAAACGATGTAAGTTCTATTTTTGGAAAAGAGAGCAGCAGACCCCAGGGTTTGAATGGGATGGGACCAGAGTGACCCAGAGATTTGGTGATAATTTTTTTTCAATAATGAAAGGGCCATTAAAATTTAAAAAAACAGACAAAACCATAACAAGTAATACAAAATAAATCATTTAGCATCTACTTGGGTGGTGGTGGGAAGACTCAAAATAATGGTGGTGGAAAGATGTAATGGTGGTGGAATTGGTGCTGAAATATTGAATGTCATCAATTATTGTGAACAACTCTTTGAAAATAAATTTTTTTAATTTTAAAAAAGAATGAAAGGGTCTTTTCTGAAGCAAGAGGGGAGATAACTGCTCCTTTCACAGAGTAAACTTCATCTGATTTCCTAATCTACCACAAAACCCAGCCTTTGCTCTCTACCTGAAACTTCTTGGCAGGCATCAGTCAACTTGAAACTTTTTTTATTTTTGCCTTTCACTTCATAGCTGCTGCAGATGTTATCTGAGGGAGCCGGAGCCCCTGTCCCTGTGGCTTAAGGCAGAGGCCCCTTTCCCTCAGCACGACTCTCTTCTTTCTCTCTGCTGCCAAACCTGAAGCAGAGTGGCCGTCTGTGCCCGCATTCCTTCCTCTGCTCCATCCTTCACCCAACCAATATTTACTTGCTGCAGTGACTCAGAGGCGAGTTACCACGTGACCTCGGAAACCGGTAGCAGCGTGACTGCACTTGTGGCCCCTCTTGGAGCCCCTGTGCAGTAGCCGACAGTCGCTGTCTCTGCCATCTGTTTGCTCCCTCCAGATCAACGGCAGCGTCCCCAGCTCTGCTTTCTCTCACCCTTGTGGGCTTTGCCTCTGGGCCATCAGTTCTGCAGCTCATGTTATTTCAGCCAGATTATTTCAGTGTTGCAGAATACCTCTGTGGTTTATTCCTACCACATTCATTCTCATCCTCTTGATTTAGGGAATGAACTGGACTTAGAAATCCCTGCTTTGCATGATTAATCTGATATATTAGTACATTATTTGTACCAGTGAGGAAATATCTGACATTGGGAAACAGCGTTTGTTAAAACTAGAGGAAAGTCCTTTGAAGACATTAGAAGCTCACTACTTTTCTTTTTACTTTGTTTGTTTGTTTGTTTTGGAGGCCACTTCTGGCAATGCTGGGGGACTTCTCCTGAGATGGTACTTTGGGGGTATTCCTTGGTGGTACTTGGGAGGACCATGTGATGCTGGGGGTTGAACCTGGACCTCCCACATTCAAAGTTTGTATTCCAGCTCTTTGAACCATTTTCTCAGCCCCTAATCATTTTTTCTAAGAACTTTAAACTCTCCGGGGCAGGAGCGATAGTACAGTAGGTAGGGCAGATGCCTTGCCTATGCCTTGGTCCCTGGAACCCCATCTGGTCTACTGAGCCCTGCCAGGAGTGAACACAGGCAGGAGTATACCCAAGAGTAGGGCACCACCCAGCATGGCCACAAAGAAAGAGAGAACTTTAAACTATTTCTCTGTTGTTTTTGAGCTGTGAAGCAGTGTACTCAAACCAGGGCTTCCAACACACAAAGCATGTGCCCCATCTCCTCTCCTTGTCTTGTTTGAGGAGGGCAGGGGCTCCACCCAGCTGTGCTCAGAGATCACTCCTGGTGGGGCTCAGGACCCTATGGGTTGCCAGGAATTGAACCTAGGTTGGCTGCATGCAAGACGAGTGCCCTGCCCGCTATACTAGTCTTCCAGTCCCCATGAGTTCCAGCTTTCTGAGCATCTCCCCGGCTCTTTTTGAAGAACTGTCAGTATTGCCAGTCTCCCTTGTAGCTCTTCTCTTCTTTTCTTGGTCTCTCCTGCCCTCCCTCATTCCCGCTCACTCTGGTGAAAACATGAAGAAAGGACTGTACTGGAATAATCGTCACTCTGTGTAAGGAAAACATAGAAGCATTCTGTTCTCAGTGACGTGCAACAGAGCTCAAGAGAGCACAGGTTCTCCCCAGCTGGCCTTTTTCTAGCCAGGCCATAGCTCATGCCTTATCCCCTATGCCATCTCTCTTAGCTCCTGTTGCTCCCCTTGTGTAGAATGGTTTCTTGTTTGTCGGGCTTCTTCCCCATCACACGGTTGATTGAGAATGACCCAAACCCGTTGCTCATTCTTGTTGAATTTCAGCATTTCTCTATAATGCTCTATCCTTAGCTTCTGAGGAGGGAGAACAGCAGATTGCTGAGTTACATGGGTCTGAATTGTGAGTCTCTGCCGTATCAAGCCCATATCCCTGATCAAGAAGGCGCGGCACAGAACTTAGGACTTGCCTTTGGGAACCCATATTCTGGTAAGATTCCATTACTCTTCAAGCTGAAAGAGTCCAGCCTGCCTCCCTTTGCCCCACTAAATTTTTTTTTGTCTGAGATGCTAATTAAGACGGGTCTCGTTGTTAAGACTTGCTGGGCAGAAGCTGAGTACCTAATAGAAAGATTGCCAGGCGAGAAGTGTTAATTGAGAAATAAATCTGAATCTAGAAGACGCAAATCAGATCATTCGCCTAGAGGCAGCAGACACAAATTGAGTCCCGTGGCTATATTCCAAATATATAAATCAGAGAAATGTCTCCATGTAGAAGATATACACATACAAAGCTGAGGAAGCTAATTAAGGTTTGGAGAGAGAAGCACAAAAGGGGGGGGGGGGGGTGCTGCCCAGGAACGGGCAATTAGGACAGGCCCCTCCCCAGCCCCAGCTGACCAAGGGGAGCAGGAGGGTGCACCATAGAAACCCTTGGGTGGTTTGGAGGACAAGACATGGGCATGAAAACCAGCTTCTCACAGAGGACTGGGGACCCATGTTCTTGCCAACAGTGAGCTTTTTCCTTTGTCTCCAAAAGATTGAACCTTGTTTGCTTTGGGGGGAACAATTTAAAGCAGCCATGTTCTCCCAAGACAATCAGATCTTTGCAACAGGCAAAGGTAAAAGTTTATTTTTTCTTTAAAAACGCTATTTTGAGGGGCCCATGCAATAGTGTTGCAGGTAAGGAATCATTTGCCTTGCACGAGGCTGACCCGGGTTCGATTCCCAGCACCACCAGGAATAATTCCTGAGTGCATGAGCCAGGAGTTACCCCTATGCAACGCTGGGTGTGACTCCAAAAAGCAAAAAAAAGAAAAGAATGGAGTGATCCCAAAGCACAGAGGCACAAGTAAGAACTGAGCACCATTGTGTGTGGTCCCAAAACAAAACAATCAAAAAACATTATTTGGGGGGCCGGGAAGTTTGGGCCACACCTGGAGGGGCTTAGTCCCGGCTCTGTGCTCAGGGTTCATTCTTGGCAGTGCTCATGCTGGGATCTAACTAGGGTCAGCTATGTGCAAGGCAAATGCCTTAACCCCTGTACCATCTCTCCAGCTTTTATAAAACATTTAAAAACTACCTGAGGGCTTGGGCCACAGCGATAGTACAGTGGGGAGGGCATTTGCCTTGCACATAGCTGACCTGGGTTCAATCCTCAGCATCCCATCTGGTCCCCTGAGTACCACCAAGAGTAATTTCTGAGTGCAGAGGTAGGAGTAACTGCTGAGCATCGCTGAGTATAGCCCAAAACACCCCCCCCCAAATTTTTTTCATTAAAAAAAGTAAAAATAGGGGCTAGAGCAATAGCACAGCAGTAGGGCATTTGCCTTGTACGCGACCGACCCAGATTTGATTCCCAGCATCCCATATGGTCCCCTGAGCATTGCCAGGAGTGATTCCTGAGCGCAAAGCCAGGAGTAACCCCTGAGCATCGCCAGGTGTGATCCCCCCCCCAGAAAAAATAGTAAAAATATTTGGGGTCCAGAGAGGTCGCTGGCCAGGCAGAGTGCGTGCTCTGCATGCAGGAGCCTCAGGTTTGGTGCCCGGCACCACATGACCTCAAGCACCCAGCACAAAATAGCAGCAAGGGATGGGCCAGAAACCAAAAAATGATTTGTAATAACTACCTGCATGAGTTCAGTCTGAAAATCAATTCGCAGGGGCCAGGATGTGTCTCAGCTGGGAGAGTCCAGGCCTTGTATGTATGTCCCCTTGTTTCATCTCTGGCACCACCACAGAAGTCTCAGATGGTTTCCTTTGTTGAATGGTTTGATTTACGTTCCTTGTTATTTTGTACTGCTTCTTAAAAATTGTTCTTGAATCACCGTGAGATGCACCATTATGAGTTTATTGATGATTTTCAGTCATACAGTGTTTCAATACCCATCCCTTCACCAGTGCACCCCAGTAACCCTTCCATCCCTTCCAGCCTGCCTCTATATAGGGCAGACACTTGTCTTTGCACCTCCCCCTCGTTTTTTTTTTTTTAGGCACTGTGGAAATACTTTTTTTTTTTGCAGTACTATACTGAAAAGATATCTTGTGTGTCACTTAACCTCCTTTCAAATTGCTACTGTTTTTGTTAAAAATCTCATTGCCTCCACACTGAGAATAGGTTTGTTGTTTTTTCTCTGATACTATTACATATATATGGCCTTTGAAAATGCTATTTCATTTTCATTATTGTTGCTTTGTCATTGACCTAGACCTCCACCCCAACCCAGCCTCTATCAGTGGTTAATAAATAGAATATCTGAGAGATAAAGAATCACAGTTGGAGGGTCAGAGAGATAGTTCCAGGGACTGAGTGTATGCTTTCCATATTGGCCACCTGGGGTTGGTCCTAGGTTCCACGTGGTCCCCTGAGCACTGCCAGTAATGACCCCTGAGCACAAGACGTGAGTAGCCTCTGAGCACCGCTGGGCATCCCCCCTCCCCCCACCCCAATCACATCTGCTAGAACTTAATTGCAGTACAGAGATGCTATTCTTAAAATGAAATCTTTTTAATTCCCTGCAGGCATCCAAGAAAGTTCTGACCCCGGCTTGGTAAGTGATCATGAGACTGCCCAGAGCCAGCCTTGGAGATACTTTTCCTCCTGCTCCAAATTAGCCAGGGCAGTGCTCAGAGCCCACAGCTGAGCCAGCCTGTGGGGTGGGAGAAGAGCACCCCCCGCCCCAGTATTCTGCTCATTTGTCTGGGGATGGAGCTGTGGGCTGGCCAGCTACACGGCATGCCTGGCGGTTCCTTTACCCTCATCAGGTAGTCTCCTTAAGCACTGAGAATGTAGGGCCAGGGAGATGACTTAAAGGGCTAGAACACATGCTTGACCTGCAGGAGGCTCGGGTTCAATTCCTGACACAGTGTTGTCTTACTCTGGGAGTGACACCTGAGCACAGAGTTAGGAGTAGGCATGAGGCACTGATGGGGTATGGCCCCAAACAGAACAAAAATTAATGAACTGGAGAGATAGTACATGGGGTAAGGCATTTGCCTTGCATGTAACCAACCCAGATTCAATTCTCAGCATCCCTTATGGTCTGCTGAGCCCACCAGGAGTGATTACTGGGCAGAGAGCCAGGAGCACGTCCTGAGCACTTCCAGGGATGATGCAGACACAAAAGCAAAACAGAAATTTCGTCCTGAGGGAATCTAATTATAGAGAACAACCTAAGCATGGTCCTTGTCCCATGTAACTTCCATTTGTACTGATCTCTGCTCTTCCTCCCATCTCCAAGAAATGCTACACTTGCAATGCCGATCTTGCCGAGGAGTATTTTGACCATACCCTGGAGCAGCAACACCTGCAGACCCTTTGCTTGAATTGTCCAATCTGTGACAAGGTCTTCTCAGTAAAAGAGCAGCAGGTTTTCGAAGATCATGTATTCTGCCACTCACTCTAAGTGTCTTGGATCTCTATTATACAAAGATTTATAGAAGAGAACCTTTCACTTCTACTCTGGGTTATGGCCCAAGATAGCCTGTGTCACCTGAAATGGTTAGGGATGGGCTCCACCACGCCATCTGTGAAAGGTGAAGTCACATCCATTATCTAAAGGGTACCGTCCTGTGGAAGTAATTCAGGATCTAACTTCCATCCCATTACTTCCAGGCTACTGCTTTTTGATCACCTAACCGGGCTATGTCAGCTCTTAACCGGTGGTGCCCCTTTTCCTATTGGTCTCATACCAGTAGACCCAGAAGTCTGCTGGTCCCTGGAATGGAAAGGACCTTGCTATTTATAACCCATCTGAGTGGTCTTACGATTGGTTTCTAAGTGTCCCCTGACATTCACAGTTCAGCCCCGTGCTCAGTTCTCAACCCTAACCGTAGGGCTAACCAGAGCTTTAGAAGTTCCTCTTCTTCCTTCTTCCAAAGCGCCTTTCTTCAATTGATTGCCTTAGCTAAGCCAAAAGTAACACAACAGAATTCTGGCATTCCGTTTGGATACCAAAGGTTTCTTGTCTTGATTTCTCAGGTCTTCACAGAGTGTCTTATTTCTAAGTTGTAGACGGGAAATAGTACTTCAATCACAGAAAGCCTTTTTTGTTACTAGATGCCTCTTCTGGCATTTTCCTATACACATAACTTTTATTGCTGTCCTTGCTTAAATTGTTAGAAGTTGTTAGAAACTATGAGTTTGCAGATTTTCCAGGCAGGTGAATTTTGACTGTGGATAAGCCTGAATAATGAAAATTATTGTTAATTGCTGCTTTAATACTAAAAATAAAATAGTCCTCTATTTGAGGAACTTTGTTATTTAAAAAAATAAAACCTTGAGTTTATGATCTTTTACTTTTTAACTTATGGGGAAGATGCAATCTAAAGGATTCCAGGTGGGAGCCAGAGTGACAGTACAGCAGGTTAGGCGTTTGCGTTGCACATGGCTGACCCGAATTCTATACCCAGCATCCCATATCCTGAGCAATACGAAGAGTAATTCCTGAGTGCAGAGCCAAGAGTAACCCCTAAGCATCACCAATGTGACCCAAAAAGCCTAAATAAAATAATTAAATTCTTCAATTCCAGGCATTGAACCCACCCCGCCCCCGTCACTGATCTCTCTTTACCTATCTTAACTTAAAAGTGTCCTAGGCAATTGTCTCATGGTGAGGGGTTGATGACAGGTACTTGGGACTTTTTTTATCTGTTTGGTTTTTTCTTGGTTTTTGGGCCACATTCAGTGGTGCTCAGAGCTTGCTCCTGGCACTGTGCTCAGGAATCACTCTCCACAGGGCTCAGGGGACCATATGGGATTTCAGGGTCAGCCACATGCAGGACAAACATCCTACCCACTGTACTACCTCTCCGGCCTCCCAGAGTACTTATTTTGAGAAATCTATAATCCTGATTTTTTGCTTTAACACGTGTGTGTGTGTTTGTGTGTGTGTGTATGTGCACATGCACGCACATGCTCACATTCAGTGTGTTCAAACCCAGGGCATTACAAGAGATCCATGTGCTCTACTACTAGGCTTCATTTCCCTTTCAAGTACTTTTTATTTTGTTTTTTTTGCAAGGACCTCTCCAGCAGTGACTGGGCGCCCAAGGGCAGACCTGTAGATACTGACCTGGTAACCCAGACCTGACAGTCTGGAGCTCAAGCTGTTGAGGCGTGTATGGGTGGTGCTGAGGCCTGGGTACTGAGACGGCAAGGCAGGGCTCTGACTCAGTACCAGGGACTGGATTCTGGCCCTCACACATGCAGTGCATGCACACCACCTCTCTGAGTATCTCTCTGGCCCCTTTACCCACTTTGGTTTTTTTTAAGGTGGCAGTATGAATTTTGGTACCCTCTTTCATTCCTTTTATTTGGGGGAGATTTGTCTAATGAAACTCTAAGAAAGCAATTTCTGTTTTCTCCCCCACCCCACCCCCAGCCCCAAGGGACTAAATAAATGGAAATGGCTCTAGACATTTACAGAAACATGAATAATATGAGACTTGAAGCCATAACCAAAGCTGAGCCAGCTGTAGTTCTGTATCCTCCCAGACTTTCCCCAGTGTGGTCAGGCCACAGACTTTGTGCAAGTCGTAGCTTTTTGCCTTTATTTCTTCATTGGTGAAAATGAGACTCTACTACTCATTACCACCATTTCAGCAAGATCTTGTGAACTGAGAAGCCTTTTGCCATGAAAAATCAGATGTGAGGGCCTGGAGAGAGAGAGAGAGAGAGAGTGTGAGAGTGAGTACAGGGGTTAAGACATTTGTCTTGCGGATAGGGCGTTTGCCTTGCACATGGCCCACCCGGGTTTGATCCCCAGCGTCCTGTATGGTCCCCTGTGTACCTCCAGGAGTGATTCCTGAGTGCAGAGCCAGGAGTAACCCCTGTGCATCGCTGGGTGTGACCCAAAATGAAAAAAAAAATCTCTCATGGGGCTGGAGAGATAGCACAGCAGGTAGGGCGTTTGCCTTGCTTGTGGCCTACCCAGGTTCAATTCCCAGCATCCCATATGGTCCCCTGAGCACCGCCATGAGTAACTCCTGAGTGCAGAGCCAGGAATAACCCCTGTGCATTGCCAGGTGTGACCCAAAAAGCAAAAAAAAAAAAAAAAGACATTTGTCTTGCGACACGGCCAACACCTGTTTGAATCTCCAGCACCATGTATAATCACCTAAGCACTGTTGGGGGTCACTTCTGAGCACAGAGCCAGGACTAGCCCCTGAGCAGATAGTCCAAGGGTTAAAGTACTTTTCTCGCATGCCTCCAGCCCTGATTCAATCCCGGGCAGTGTGTAGTTGCCAGAACACAGAGCTGGGAGCAGCAGCTGAGCAATGCCAGATGTGACTGCAAAATAGAACAAAGGATCTGTATGTTAAGGCCCAGGAGCTAGAACAGCGGGTAAGGCACTTGCCTTGCATGTGGCCCAAGCTCGATCCCCAGCACCACAGATGGTCCCTTTAGCCCTGCCAGAAGTGAGCCCCCATAGTCCAGCCAGGAGTGAGCCCTGAGCACCCGCAGGTGTAGGCCCCTCCCACCAAAGATCAGATATCACTTAACAACCAATGCAAACCCTATCCTTAACAGTATTATAAATCATGGTACCTAGGATTAAAAAAAAAATTTAAAGACCAGTTCTTTAATAGAAATAGAAAGGGAAGGTGGCACCGCAGACACCATTTCCGGAAGATACCCTTTCTCACTAGAAAATGCCTGTGGCTCTCCAGATCGTCTAGACGCAGGACTGCAGTTTCATTTATTCTGTACTCGTCAGCTCTTAATTAAGTCCCTGAATACAGAGGCGCAGTGGTGCCCATAATCCAGCTCAGTGAATCCCATTTTCTGGTGAATTACCTGCCCCTTTGCCCCTGACTACCCCGAGGGTTATCGTGATTATCAACAGCAGCAGGAGCCCTTCCGCTGGCTTGGTAAAAAAAATTTTTTTAAGAAATAACAGTTGAGGTGTTAATGATCCTTTTTGCTGGATGTAAAACAAAGCGTCTTTAACCACTGTTCATTATCCCCAGCTGCTCTTAGCAGGGCTCTGAGGGGAAATGATGCTCCAGGCGGCTTCTGGGGATAAAGGAAGCCATCCTTCTTCCATAACCCACTCCTGGTCCGACCTCTCCCCTCTCTAACCCTTGCCTCCGCACGTTTTCTGGCTGGGTGGTACCTGCAAATGTAGCAGGAAGCTACAGGATTGCTATCTAAATGGGATTTTAGTCTCTGCGTCCTTCTGATAGGTCTTCCATCCTGACCGTCTCTGTCTAATATGAGAATGTTTGGACTTTCCCATTACATTCTAGCTGACTAAACAGAGGGGGACAGCCATGCTTGCATGTGTGTGTGTGAAGGTGTCAAAGGACAACTAACCTCACATCCCAGAAGCAAGAGTTGGCAAGATTTCGGTAAATCGAGAGCCCTGATCACACCTGTAGATTCAACAAAGCTTTCAGCTTTCCTTTTGATCTTGCTAAAAAAAAAAAAAAAAAAAAAAAAAAACGAAGTGAGAGGCTAGAGCGATAGCACAGCGGGAAGGGTGTTTGCCTTGCATGCGGCCCGCCGATCTGGGTTCGATTCACAGCATTCCATATGGTCCCTTGAGCACCGCCAGGAATAAGTCCTGATTGCAGAGCCAGGAGTAACCTGTGTGCATCGCTGAGTGTGAGTCAAAAAGAAAAAAGATGGATAGTAAGAACAGTGGGTTGCACACTCGGCTTGCATGGTGACTAACCCGGGTTCAATCCCCTGAGCACTGCCAAGAGTGATTTCTATGTGCAGAGCCAGGAGTAAGCCCTGAGCATCGCTGTGTGTGGCCCCAAAACAAAAGCAAGCAAAAGGCTGAAATGAAATGACACTGCCTGGGCATTTAAGGAGCGTTCTCTGATTGGAGTGATTTTCTGCTGTGGCGGTGGATTGTGCCGAGCTAAACATCCTCGAACCTGGTCTCCTAGCAACAAATGTTGATGAGATGCAGTCCATTACCTAGGAAAAAAGCAAAACGAATTCTACATAGAGGTTAAGCCCGAAGAAACAGTTGCCTAATTCCCTCATATTAGCCAACAATAGGGCTGCAGCTCAGGGAGTTCATACTGGCCCCTGCTCTCCTTCACTATCGTGAACAAATATGAAAATAATGTCTTCCTGTGTGTGCAGCGCTCAGGCTGTATTTCAGATAGACCGTGTGTATTTTCAGTAATCATCTGAAGCGGTTGCTATTAACTTCCGCTTTAGAGATAAATAAGTTGACATATGGAGAAATGGTCTAAAAGTGAAATCATCAGAAATTGAATGGATGAATAAAATATGGTATAAAAATAAAGTACATAACACACAACAACATAACAAATAAAGTACAAGTGTAGGTAAACCTTAAAAATTTTCTAAGAATCCAGTTCCAATTCCAAAGGCCCCATTGTAGATATGACTCCATTTTTATGAAATATCTAGAATAGGCAAATCTACAGCAAAAAAATAAAGTAATATTTTCTTAGGGCTCGGGTTAGGAGAAACTGATAATAGATATGTAATTTCTTGATGGATTAAATAAAATGTTCTGAAATTTATTGTGGTTATACAATTGTGAATATATTAAAAACCATTGAACTACACAGTTAATATGAGACATCTCAAAAACACACACAGAGATATACATGTACATACATATATATATATATATATATATTCAGGAACTACTCCTGACAGTGCTTGGGAGACCAATCCAAGGTCAGCCACATGCAAGGCGCAAGTGCCTTAACCTTCGTACTATTAAAAACTTAAAATACAATTCATCAACCAGGAGAATAACTCAGAGGGCTGGAGTGCATGCTCTGCATGTAGGAGCCCCAGGTTCGATTCCTGGCACCAGAGTCTTGAGTCACCCCTGATACCATCAGATGTGGCACACAAACAAGACCCAGAAAGTTTATTGGCCTCTTTCAGTTTATTTTTAGGCCACGACCAGCAGTGCCCAGGGCTTACTCCTGGCTCTGTGCTCAGGGATCACTGAGGACAGGCTTGTAAATCATAGCGGGTGCTAGGGATCAAATCCAGGTCAGCGGTTTGCAAAGCAAGCACATTACCCCTCTCTCTGCTTCCCCTCCTTATTTATTTTGATTTTTGGGGTGAGGGGGTTGGTAATCTTATTAAGACCCAGAGGAACAGTGCAAGGGGTTCAGAGCACCTACCTTGCATACGTCTGGTCGCAGAGTTCCAATCCCTGTGGTGCCACAGGCCCAGGTGCAGTTCTGGCGGCTCCGCTGTGTGAACCTGGCACCTCCGCTGCCACCTGCCGTCCCATGAGTCTGAGTCTGGGCAGCACGTGTGTGAGCAGCACAGCCACTCCTGTCCAGCAGCACCACAACC